GCCACTGATGTCACACACTCTTAGCCCCAGGTCAGGGATCTGGGACTGAGCAGATGAACTTTTGGGAACCACACAAGAAAGTCCACACACTGAGGTTGACCCAACCACACATCTCATGACCCTTACATATGTGAACACATGATAAACATTTAAACCTTCAGGCGTGAAAGCAGCAGGACACACTGCACAGGGCAGTGCCCACAGGGGTCAGCCAGGCCACAGCTCCAGCCCGGACAGCTCCTGTCCCTGGCACCTACAGATCAAACACCTCTGACCATCTGCCCTCCACAAAAGCTTAATGGGAATCACACAGATCTGTGAGACTGGCCCAGCACCACGCCTGACCCGGCTGTTCCCCAGCCCACTCCCCACCCATCAGTCCCCGTGGGCAGCAGGGTGGGTGTCGGGGCACAGCCCTCGCCTGGCCCTCCCCAGGAACAGGAAAGAGAGGGCCCTGGGCTGTTCCGTGAGCACTTACGTCTTTCTGTCCCACTCTTTCGGTAACTTCCACGTGATTTAGCCATTTGAACTCTGGGTTAAACTGCGTCAGTCGCCTCATTTAAAAACCACAGCCACGTTTTCAGATCCGCGCAGAGGCAGCCGGAGGAGAAGGTCACACCATCGGGCTGGGGGAGCAGTCGCTGCGACACATCAGACCTTTGCAGACCGATGCCCAGGAGAGCCCAGGCCACAGGGACAGGTACGTGGTTCAGTCTCTGTTTCAGCCTGTTTCGATGCCCATGGATGTACAGTCAGAACCCGGCTGTGCCAGACGCACGGGGGTCGGGCTCGGGCTCAGCAAACCAGCCTGGCTGCCGGTGCCAGTGTCCCCGGGCAGAGCCACGCTGTGCCCGCAGGGGCTCCGGTCCAGCAGCCCCTCGGGGCTCGGTTTGCCGGGGGCTCCGGTCCAGCAGCCCCTCGGGGCTCGGTTTGCCGGGGGCTCCTCGCCCCGCACAGGACGGGACGAGCCGGGCTGCACCGAGGGCAGGGCAGGAACTCCAGTGCCCAGGGAGCAGCGAGCCCAGCACCGCCTGCCCTCACCTCACCACACACACCACGCTCATTCCACCCAGGTACCTGTGCTCAGCACAACAGAGGCCTGCAGAAAGCCAACTGCAAGGAGTAAACTGCTTCCTTCCCCTTTCAAACCACTGGAGTATCTGCAATCATTTTGCTTTACAAATTATGCATACATATTTTACAGCAGAAATCATACGTGCAGTTGCAGTAGTTCTCTTATATTGTGTACTAAAATTAGAAACAATATAAAGAAATAGAATTGTTGCATTCTGATGCTTCTCAAGACATAAATGTATTGGTTTTCATTCCAAGAAATTCGAAGGAACAGCTTTTCCCACAGCCATTCTATGCAGCAGCCTGCAGTGTAGCAATCAAACAAGCCCCTCAGTCATGGAGTCATATTTAGTTGAAATAGGACCAATATTTTTTACTTTTCTTCCCTTTAATTTCTAGTGAAGCCTACAAAGATAGTGAGTGACAATACTTATTATCTGCTTCTTTCAAAATGTGCTTTTCCTAAAAGTTTCATAAAAACATACAATTAATTTGTTCAAGTGGGAAGAGAGAGCAGTGTGCAAACCTCAGGACTGATCAGAACCATTTGCTCACCCATTAGACAAACCCATATTGGTCTGCCAGTGCACTCCCTCAGAACTCCCAACACATTTTTATAGAACAAGGCTGGTACAAAGATTACTTTTTTATAAGCATAGTTTCAATCCTTAAAAAAAAAAAAGTTATGAAGTTTTAGCATTATTAACTAGATGCTTAAATAGATTCAAACCTTTTTCTCTGGCACCTTGGCTGAGGGCGGGCGTCAAACCAAACCCTCCCAGAAAGGCTGCTCTAGTGGAAAAGCTGCTCAGAAGGCTCAGGAACAAATCCTAATATATTCCTAAGTCTTCCAACATGAGAACAAAGCCCTCCTGATTATCTGGGAAGCAGCACAAAGAGCGAGAATAATATTTCTTCCTAATTGCATTTTTCCTTGAAATTAATCAAGCAAACTTCTAAGAGAATAACAACTGTCTCTTAGGAAAGGCAGATGTCATTGATGTCCTCTCGGTTCTTTTCGTAGGTCCTTGATACCTCAAGTCAGCAAAGCCAACTCACACAGGAGTTTACAATGTCAAGCAACATTTCAGAATGCCATATCTATGAAGAAATGGAACCTTTTACCTATTTTTACTACTTGATTTTTCTTATGGGAATTATTGGAAGCTTTTTCGCACTGTGGGCATTCACACAGAAGCATCAGAAACACAAGCCTATGAGCATCTACTTAATCAACCTCCTCACTGCAGATTTCCTGTTAACTTTGACTTTGCCAATGAAGATTATTGTTGACCTAGGAATTGCGTCCTGGAATCTGAGAATATTCCACTGCCAAGTTACAGCCTGTTTCATCTATCTGAACATGTATTTGTCAATCATATTTTTGGGATTTGTGAGCATGGATCGCTGCCTGCAGTTGATGCACAGCTCTAAGATCTACCGCATCCAGGAGCCGGGGTTTGCCAAGACACTGTCCGTGGTCGTGTGGCTCATGATTCTCCTCATAACCGTGCCTAACATGGCTATTCCCATACAACACATCGAGGAAAGACCCGGCGCAGGATGCATCGACTTCAAAACGAAGTTTGGGAGAGACTGGCACGTGTTCACTAATTTCATATGCACAGCGATATTCCTGAATTTCTCAGCCGTGATCCTGATCTCCAATTTCCTCGTCGTCAGACAACTCTACCGTCACAAGTACAGCGAGAGCTACGGCAGCGTGAGGAAGGCGCTGACCCACATCCTGCTGGTGACGGCCGGGTACCTGCTCTGCTTCGTGCCCTACCACGCCGTGCGCATCCCCTACACGCTGAGCCAGAGGGACGCCACGGCCAGCTGCCCCCTCAGACGGGCCCTCTTCAAAGCCAAGGAGTCCACCCTGCTGTTTGCAGTCTCAAATCTCTGCTTTGACCCCATTCTCTATTACCACCTTTCCAAATCCTTCCGGCTGAAGTTCACAGAGGCGTTTGCAGCCCCCAAGCAAACAAAGGCGCTGACAGACGTGGAGCTGCAGCACAGCAGTGAACAGCAGGTACACGGCCCCAGCTCTCAAACACAGGCACAGAGCGAGCCCACCAGCAGCAGTGAACAGCAGATACACCTCCCCAGCTCTCAAACACGGGGACAGAGTGAGCCCACCAGCAGCAGTGAACAGCAGATACACCTCCCCAGCTCTCAAACACGGGGACAGAGTGAGCCCACCAGCAGCAGTGAACAGCAGATACACCTCCCCAGCTCTCAAACACGGGGACAGAGCGAGCCCACCAGCAGCAGTGACAGCTGTCGGGTGACTGTGCACGCAGACACCGCGGGTGACAACGCTCCTGACGATTCGTGAGCCCGAGCAGAAGGAAAATACTTGATCAGTAAATGCCCATGGCTGTGTTCCACACTCACACAGGGGGTCTGAGCTCACAGAGCCTTCAGTGATGCCTTCCACTCTGCTCAGTGAGCAGTGGTGACCCACCAGGGATCAGCAACGTGTAACAATACATGTTCAGACTCAAACATACTTTAGAATTATTTATGGCAAACACCTGAACTCACCTTTTCTAAGTTAAATATTGTGTATTTACTATATTAAATGACTTGGTGCAATCAAGTGAAGAAATTACTGAATGGAAGTTCTTCAGCTGCAAGGTTTTTTTTCACACACATGATTAACCCAAAAGCATTTCAGAGGGCATTATTTACTCCAGACAGGGATTTTAAACTGCACTGATTAAAAATTATTGTATCTGCCTATATCATACCTGCAGTTTTTATACATAAATTTCTTGTTCTTACCAAGTTCCATTGCCTCTCCTTGCTGCTGCTTCAGTGAATAGGAAAAAACCTAACATGTTATTATAGAAAATTCAAGCAAGTTTTAAAACAAAGAGTATAAGTATCCAGCTTGTTCTCTTTGCTTGTTTTCTGTTCATAAAAATTTATAAAACAGCAGCTAAGTTTATTAATATTCTGATATATATTTACTTCCAAAACTTATGCATATGCACAATAATCAATAATCAAAATTTAAAAATCAATTTGCACTGGCAAAATCCAGCTACTTAGATTAGCTCCATCTGCAAATCAAAACTATTTCAGAAACAAAACCAAATTATCTTTTTTTCTAATCCTTGAGTAAAAAAAAAACATGATTCATATTTTGCTCAAAGCAAGCATTCAAAATGGTTCATTCAGTATTTTCATAACAATTCTGCAATAAATCACAACCCAAACTTTGTGGGCTAAGAAATTTAAAGGAAAGAAAACTGGAATTATCACATGATACTCTCACATGAAGCTTCATGGACTGAAAGGACTTGATATTGTTAAAAAGTTGTCATTGTTTAAATATAATAATAACTCTTAAGTAGGTACAGTCCAGTTTGAGGCCTGTTCAGTGTCTGGGGCCTTTTTCCAGCACAGGGGAAAACATGAGAACCCTTCTGCATGAGGGCTGGGATCTAGAGTGTTACTCATGGGGCTTCCTCCAGTTCTCATGAGCCTACAGACAAGCACAGCAACAGCAGCCCAAAATCCACGCTGGAAGCAGCACCAAGTGGGCAGGAAGAAGAGACACCTCCTGTCACACAGTTCAGAGCTACTTCTTTCAGATATTTCGGTGTTCATCCATCTGCCCAACTCCAGCCCAAAATGTTCTATTTAGCAAGCTTTTGTTAGAGCCTGGGTCATGGTGGGCTACTGTGGTGCCTGTCCCTGAACCCCAGTGACCAACACACTTCCCTCCTGGAAATGCTCTGCTGTCCCATCAGGCAGCACCACAACACACGAGCACAGGTCACTCACCAGGGGGATGGGGAAGGTCCCTGGTCACTCACCAGGGGGATGGGGAAGGTCCCTGGTCACTCACCAGGGGGATGGGGAAGGTCCCTGGTCACTCACCAGGGGGATGGGGAAGGTCACTGGTCACTCACCAGGGGGATGGGGAAGTGTGTGGCGTACTGCAGGTGCCGAAGGAGGTCATAGGTGGATGGCACAATCAGCTCTCTCAGCCTCTCCCTCTTGGCTGACTTCTCGCTCGGGACTGAGATCCTTCTCTCGAAGGAAGGGGTCACACTCTGACGAGACTCCCCAGGCATCGGAGAAGAGATCTGAGACATGTAAAGCAAAGGTGTAAGGTAAGTGTAACCTCCAGCTTCTGAAATCCAGCAGCTGCAGACAAAGACAGGATTTGCTCTTGCTTGCAGCTACTTGTCAAATATCTGAGGTTTTTCAAAGACAGACAAAGTAAGGCAATTGCATTCAAGCCTCAGATTTAAGATAAATGTACATGTTATATCCCTGTGCACATCTCCGTGGTTATTAGACAAGTTTTAACCTAGAGATATTCAGTCAGGGAAAAAGCATTCTGATCTGGAGCAATCTGCACACTCCTCATGTTGCTGTGACACAGAAACCACAATGAGCTGTTTCAGCAACTGAGGGAAAATAATGGGATGGGGGAAGTGGGAGGTGACAAGAGACACTGTAGGTAGGCATGGACGTGCTTGAAACCACCAACATGACAATTATCAGGCAGAAACAGGGTCCCAATATCCTGCAAGTGATAAGTCTAGGCAGTCCATGCAAAACAAGGGGAAATCCAAAGGAAGAAACAGGAGATTCGAGAGTTGTGCAGAACAGAAAGGAAAATGAGGGGGAAACAGATTTGAAAAACAGAGCCAAAACATAGAACCATCCTTTGAGAAGCAGATGGCATCAGTGAGGGTCCTTGATGTCAAACAAGTGGGGAGCTCTGCACATTTCTTCATCCTCACTGTAACCCACAGTGCTCAGCACACTGGGGATGGGGCAGGGGGGAGAGCAGGGATGTCTGTGCTTGCAGGAGGACAAACAGGGCAGCACAGGGGAGCAGCAGCAGAATGCAGAGAACAGAGGTGAGGCACTGACAGACACAGAGACGATGCCAAAGGCCATCAGCTGCCGAGGGAAGGAGCAGGGTGGTGCTGGGGCATGGAGGGATGTTCAGTGGCAACACAACAGCAGCCGCGGGCAGCAAAAGCATCGCAGGCATGCAGAAAATCAAAGGCAAACCTACTGGAAATTCTGAACCGAAATCTGCCTTAAAGTCACTCTTTTCTACATCATCAAAAATACCAGTGGTTCCTGAGTCAATGCCCATATGTTGCACAATACCATGATCCTAATAATTGCCAGGGAGAAAAACAAGTATAAGTCACAGCAAACTCAAGCACTGTGCCTCTTTAAGAACTGTGTCTTTCAGTTTGTCCCAAGTTATTCAGATCACCAGACAGCTGCTAGTTTGATACATCTGCACCAAATCAGCAATATTTACAGTTACACACAGCAATGAAGTTAAGGGATCCTTTTCAGCTTTCTCAAAGAGGAAGAGACAAGGAGACACAAAGACCCCCAGTATCTCACACCTGAAATACTAATGCTTCGCTGAGAACCCACATTTAATGAAACACAATAACAAACATGGGAACAGCACAAAGCATTACCTCCAGTTTCACATCATGATCCTTTGAATAATGTTCATCTACAGCTTCCCCATTAAGGGAGTGTGGTCTGGGAGCTGCAGTGATGGACAAGTCCCCACGAGATATTAAAGTGCACATGTAGGCATCGTGGGAGAAAACATCGTGCCGAGTGAATTCCGAGAAAAGCAGCACCAAATTCACAAACTCTGTCTTCTCATGGTCACTGCTTGGGTCAGCTACACAAACAAGAAAAAAACCAGAAGTTAAACTGTAGTTTCAGCTTATAAGTCTTTGGGTTTGAACTGTTCAAACAGCTGGCCTTTCCTCCCAAGCGCTGTCTTACCTACAGCACTTTTGCATTTATAGCAGAAAATCCTATAAAATATTTGCAGAGAATTCGGGATCTGCATGCCAGGCCTCCAAGATATAAAGGCAATATTTTCATTAAAGCTTGACAGTGTAGTGTAGTTTATCTATTAGAGATGCTCATGCACATCAGGAAAACAATAATTAAAATAAATGCATGTTATTTTGTCAGGACTAAGCAAAGCCTAGAGAAGTACAACATATAAAATGTTGTCACTAAGTTTTCATTTGTCACAGCTCTGTTTAATTTGACTTGTTCTTTATCACAGAAAGGTTTGCAACAGTGTGGTTAACAGAAAATAGCTTTATATCATGCCAAATCTATTGGGCAGCAAAAGAACTACCAAACCTGAATTATCACCATTTATTTAAAAGCAAATTATGCTCTGGAGTTCAGATTAGCCCAGCATGTAACAGTGTGTTCAGCCATCCTCACTGGGCTGCAGCACAGCAGCTGTCAGTCTGCCCAGGAGCAGTGGGGTCTGACCCCCCCCTGCAGCCCCAGGTCCTGCTCCCCCCAACACCCCTCAGGAATGAGGCGTGGGGCTGGTGGAGCATCCCAAAACACACACCTGAGCCCAGGTGAGCTGCCCTCCTCAAAATATACCAGTATGTGCTTTTCATTTTTGGAGACTCGGGAGCTCAACCACTGCAAAACCAACACAACAACTCAAAACTTGTCCAGTGTTCCAAAACACCAAAGGACATTTCAAACACAGGAAACATCCCCAGCTCCTTCCCCTGCCTTTCAGAGCTCCCTCGGCCAAGGAGAACAATACCACATCTGAAGGAAGCACAGCAGAAACACAAGGCTTAGTAACACAAATAGTTGGATGGTTTATTAAAACCAGGGTCATCACTGGCACGAAAGCAGAGCACTGCCAATATCTCTGAGTCTGAAACACATTTTAAGAAATTTCTCCTTTTTCGGACATTGAGAGTTTTCAGTACTGTGTTTCAAACCTCTTAAAATCTGTTTTATTTTAAGGGCATCAGGAAAAAAAGATGCCCTAACCAGCAGTACTGGAGATGCCAGAAACACAAGCTATGCTATCAGTTTTATCAGACCAAGACATGTCATGGAGCAGCCCTCAATGAACAAAGATCCTTTTTTCAATCCACTATCTGTCAGCCAACAGCTTTCAGCTGCAACACTTGAGTGTCATTTCTAAGTCAGTCACTTAGAGCATGGATGTGTCAGAAAGAGACAATTGTTTGGTGTTAAATATGCACAGAGTGCAAGTAATTTCCCCAAATCTCAAACAGCTTAAACAGAAATAAACACAGTTTCTGTTAATTTTCCTTTTGGGGGAAAAAAAAAAAAATCAAAAATCATAGAAGGATCCTATAACAAGGATCAAGGAGATTTAAAAGAAACAAGAAAAGAAGTGTGCACATGAGCTGATAATCACAGAAACTGAAACACCCCCTACAGCAAACCAGTAACTTCAGCAGCCAGGCAGAAGACCAGTTGCTTCTGACCTACTTTGGAATATAAATTAGTTCATACTCACATAACGAGGGAGCTTGTGTATCCAAAAACCTTAGCAGGACATTCTGGAAAACAGGAAGACTGGAACCTGTCAAGGAGGCTGAAGACAGAGATTCCTTTTCATCTAGGACTTCAGATTCACCACATCTCTGCACAGTTAAATAAACAGAAAAGCATGTCTCTGCACCCAAATGCACACAATATCCCCACCATTTGCATCTGAGGCCACCACACGTGTGCCTGTTTCCTACCTCGGCACAAACTCCAGACTCACTCTAGAACAACAGGCTTTTCTCATTACCTAGTTTGGTTATTTCTAAGGTGTTTTATTTAATCACTTTGTATTTACTAAGTGGAAAGGAATGCCTGAGACATATTCCATCAGCTGCAACGACACAGTTTCACAGAAAACCAAAAATTCAAGATACAGAACTTCCAGGACACTGTGAACACAAAAGGAAAATTCTCCCCTGTGTAAATTCCAAATTGAACAATGAGCAGAGCAAACCCCTCCGCTTGAGGTGGATTTGGGTGCAGTGAGGCAGGAACAAGGCAGGTCCCTTCCCCCAGTCTCTGGTTTGTGATGAGAGCAGACAAAGCAAGGAGGTTCTGCAAAGCGAAAGTCTCTCTGCACATCCTGTCCGTGTGTCCTCAGCAGCTGCCAGCGCTCCCCCCACACCCGGCTGACAGTCACACACACCACAGTCACACACCACTGCTGGGGACCCTTTTTGCCAGGAAAATCTCCCCAGCAGAGCCCCGTGTGGTGCAGACCCAGCTGGCCCTGCCCTGAGGCCAAGGCAGTGGCTCCCAGCAGTGCCAGGGATGCAGAGCTGTGTGACCCCACAGGGACACCCCACAGGGACACACTGCTCTGCTCCAGCTGATGGCCTTGTCCCACCTGCCAGACCCATAGCCCTCTAAAAGGGGACTCCAGTTCCTGTGGCACCCCTTTAGTCAGACAAGTAGTTCACAGAAGTGAGAGACTTCAAAGAGACATAAGTCGGCTACCATAGACCATTCTGAATCAGGCTGAAGTTACTTACTTTAAATAGAAGGCTTTTTCATTCTAAATTTGTCTAGAATTTTAAAAATATTAATTGATGAAAAGATTACCAGTGCTCCAAACTCACTCCTTTTGTAACAAGATGAGATTAAAGTGAGGCTTCCTCGGAAACACCTTACTCTTTAAGCAAACTGTCACACTACGCTACAAGTAGAAACAACTTACTTCTGCCTCAATCTCTGCTTGCCTCTTCTCCAGAAGCTTGGCCACAGCCATGGCCCTGTGCTTCCCGGACCTCTTACAGCTCACAGCCCACTCACAGAGCAGCATCACCACGGCCTCGTCGTTTGGGGCAACCTGTGCAGGGCAGAACAGACAGAGAGCAGCTCACCCACGCAGCCCCCAGGCTGAGCTCGGAGCAAACAGCCTGCACAGCCAGAGCTCTGCAGCAGGAAAACCCAAACGAGCTGCAGCTTGGTCTTCCCTACTGACAGAGGCACACACTTGCTGTCATTTGCTTCATTCACAGTGTTTTCACATGACACATAAGGAAATCCCAGTTTTCACACTGCTGATACTCAAATCAAAATTTCACTTTATCATCAAGTTCACAAAACCAGAGAAGGGTGATGTGCTGTGTGAGCAAGAGGAACAGGAGCAGTGCACCCACAGAGCCTCCCAGCCCACTAACCACAAGGGATTTACGTGCTCCTTATTTTAATTCCTCCAGACCTCCTCCATCTGTTTCCAGACTGTGACTTGCATCCCACTGACACATTACAACAAACAAAACAAAACATCCTCCCACATCTAAAGGC